CACATGTAGGGTCAAGGAAGCTATTCACATAAGACTTCACCCTAATAACATCAACAGGGATAGTGGAATTGAAATTCCTGAAGCATGGATACCCACAATAATCATTACCTAGCAACAGTTCTATGTTGGCAGTTTCTTTAGTTGAGGGTACTGAATTGGCAAGAGGAATGTCCGTAAGTAAGTGACTGAATTTCTCTGGGTTGAAGTATGCTCGTTGTAGGTTACCAGTTATCTTGGGTACAGCATTGACCCTTAAATGCAGAGGTGATCCATCCTTTGCTAACAGCCGGAGTTCAGTGACAGAAGTGTGAAGCTCTCTGGGTTTTGATGCACTGAATGTGTACACTGTCAGTGTTTCTGATCCTGTGATTCGCAACTGGAGTTTTTCTGCCAGCTCATTGGTGATGTAGGTCCTTTGGCTGCCTGGGTCTAGAAGCAATCTGGTGGTCACTTGTCTTGATTTTTGCAAATTTTCTACTTCAACAGTGGCAGTTTGCATCAGTACTTGTTCATCAGAAGACAGCAAGGTATGTTCTGTAGCAACAGTAGCAGATAAGGGTTCAGTAACAGAATGTGCCATTTCTGAGGGCTTCTCAACTGGAATCTTGATGCAGAGACTTCTGTGGTGATGATTTCTTTGTTTGCAATAAACACATGCCTTCTTCACTTTACAATTTTTCTGGTGGTGACCTTGTTTGAGACAAATAAAACAGTGTCCCTTGATCTTTTCTTTCCTAGCCATCACAGTAGAGAACTTTTGACACTCATCACTCCAGTGTTGTCCACTGCAGTAAATTCAAATCATGTTCTTTCTTCCAGTGAGATTCTGCGGTAGTTTGGTTTCAGACAGAAATGCACCAGTAGTAGTGTTAGAATCAAACTGGGTGATCTGTGATGTAGACCACATGTTGCCAACCGAGCTTTTGTAATCAACTTTGTCAGAACTTTGCCTATCTACATTTTCCCTGTTACTAATGTACCTATGCAACTGATCTCTGAGTAGCTGCACTGTGCATTCATCATCATCATTTTTCTGTTCAGTCAGGTGGATGAGAACCTCTTTGGGTAACTTAGCCATTATCAGGGACACTAGCATTTTACTCTCAATATCCTCTCCTAGAGCTTCTAATGATCTAAGGTGTTTTTCAATGACATCATAGTTCTTACGCAGGGCTAATGTTTGACTTGAGGAGGCAGGTAAATCCATAAGACTAGTATAATGAATATTGATGATGACCTCATTTTGTCCATAACATTCTTTCAACAATTTTATGAACTGTTCATAATTTGCATTAGTCAAGGGTAGTCCTGAGATAACATCTGTAACATCTCCTGGCTGAGCTCTGAAGTAATTCATTTTCTCTACAGGACTGAGAGATGGATTAGAATGTATGGCTGAGTTAAGGAATCCCAGGGTTCCTGACAATTTAGGAGCCCTCCACTAAATTTCTTGAAGTCAAGCTTAGGTAATATTACAGTGTTAGGTTCCGTACCTTGTTTAGTGTCAACTTCTAATTTCTTCCTCAGTTTCTCTTTCTCCAGGGTAAGTCACTCTGCCTCGATTTGTAATTTTTGGTGCTCAATTTTGGCCTTCCGCTGTTTGATCTCCAACATCTTCTGTTTGAGTTCAAAGTTCACCTTACTTGTCCCTCTTTGTAACTTGAATTCCATTCGATCCTTTATCATGGCCATTTTTTAGCTCAGTCCTACCACAAATTCTTCTGCTTCCAAAACAAGGTTAACGTATTCTTCATAATCTTTCATTACCTTATCATGTTCTGATTTCCCGGGGATTTTTGCAACGGCTTTAAGTTGCACCGAAGGCTTTGATAAACAGTTAAATGCTGCTGTAGGTGGTCTCGCTTGTCACGGGTCTCATCCAAAAAGTAGCTCTAAATCACCATCGTAGGATGTTCCTTTATTTCTTTTGCTGCTTAAAGGTTGATAGTTACATGTCTTTTCCTTGGGCCAATTTATCTTCTTATGTCGCCCAAATCTGTCATCTTGTCGGCGGGGACAGTTCAAGTCACGGCTGCTGTTGTTAATTTTGCTGAGTGAGCGAATTCATAATTTTGTCTCTTTCTTTGTTGAAGGTTCTCCCGTTTAAAACAGGCTTTCCTCCACGGAAGATTAAAGTCGGCGTTTCGGCATTGGATGTAGTCACTCTGCTACCATGTTGCAAATGCAATTTTCTTTATTCATTAACACAACGACTGATTTAACATGGAGGAAAAGATTCTTGCTTCAAGCACATGCTCCGCAGGAGTGGTCAGCCTATAGTCTTGTGGAGTGGTTGCTAGGCCCTCCGTGACAAATATGTCTCAGCATTCTTTAATTTCGCTTCATCAAAACAGACCGCATTTTGGCTAACATTTGCTTAGTATTGTTGCCAGTGTTAAATACATGTAGAGAACTGGTTTTATCTTGGTTTCTTGCATGCAAAATGTTTGTTCAGTGCAAATTGCCCAAAATTGTCACTTTTCGTTCTAAGCCATGAAGATCACGATACTGATCAAATGTCTCGCTGCAGTTTGAAACAATTTTACTTCTATATGACTAAACACCAGGA